AAGAAGAATGATGGGTTCTATATTTCCTTTTGAATATCGCGATTACTTTGAAATTGCAATTGTCTGCAGCCGCCACAGAGCTAACAATAACAATACTTAAATCCTTTGCCCACTATGCGCAAGCAAATTTATTTGCTATTTCACGACATTTTTCGACATATTTCGCGACCTCGATAACTCAAAGCATTAAATATTTTGATAGAGCATTCATCATCGATCGTGCAAGCTTAAACGAACTGGTAATAAATTTAAGCTCTTGTGCCCTTTACGTTATTGCAAAATCGTCACTACTTATTCATTCAAATAACATTCGCATCCAATAGACACAATGTTCATGACTTGGAAATTGTTTTCTAATTATTTGATAAATATTTTTTTTCTGAAAATATAGTGATTTAAAAAAAAAAATTTTTTTCATTATGACCACATTGAATAATACGCGATTAACATTGTGCCGAGGCTGGTTTTCATCTTTTTATGATCGTTACATCAGTACGAGAAGATACTTTATTAAATGAGTATCATAATATCTTGGCAAGAAAGTGGATTAGCAGCGACTGCAATCCATATGATCATGAGGTACTTTATGTTTTGTTTAACTTGATGTTGTAACGCGTCTGCGAGTATGAATACGTCGGATGCAACCATTGTAAGTCTGGAGTGCCGAAAGAGGAAGACAATTAACTAGTTCCCATGCAGACAGAGAATGTTGGTCATTTCGTGGGTAAAGAAGAGGGAATGCCAGTAAGATGTTTGAGTACTTTGGGCTTCAATTTATACTTGACAACTCAGACTTTTAATTAAGCCAAGCCGTAAAACATCTCCCGACCTGCTTAATAAATTGAATTATTGATTGTTGTTTTTTTTTCTCCTTTCAGTTTAAAATAGTTCATAGGTGTGCCGCAACAAGTCGTCATTATTATAAATCTGTATCACGAGTTCTGTAATTACGTTCGGTTATTTTAAATAAAATATACGCTACTTAATTGTGAAATGCGGCAATGGCATTCGTATAAGTAAACGAATCCATGATTTTCCCTTGTGAATTTTCTAATCAATTTTTTCAATTTTTCAATTGCTGATTACGATTTTACTTTCAAGTGTGTGACATATTTCATTTAATGTCATTATTCGAATGTGACAAAACTTTGTGTATATGATTCTATTTTTCACAGCATCATTTTTTAATGCCGATATATTAATAAATAGCGTTTCAATTATTATAAATTAAGATAGATAATTGGAGGAAATTAAACCCTGTACAATGTAGCAGAAATTCGTAAGATACGCGTATAAATAAATAAATAAATAAAGTAATATACGAATAATAGATATTTTATGCAATGATGTGCTGTAAAAGAGAATGAAAAATCAGTAATTTTATTGATCGTATATTTAGAAAATTATACGTGTTTATACAAATAGCAAGTATTATTTAGGCATCGATGAATTTATCATTTTCTCTTCCTTTTTAGTATCCTAACGACAACGAGAGAACGGAAAATATTCTTCAAATTCACAGATACAGATGCTTGGTATTGTTACATACAAAACTGCAATTAATTACCAATCGTCGCTTGAAGGTGTAGTAACTTTTTCAAGTTCTTGGCATTTAATATCCAGCACAAAGCTCTACAATTAATTCTATCTAATGATCGCATCTAACGGCAATCCAACTATAATTAAAATATTCTCGAAACGTCAGTCAATATATTTATCGTAAAATCCAGTCTACAGAGTAATTATTAATAATTTCGCACAATGGATGAATTACGGCGGAGCAATTTTAGCCGATAAATGAAGCAGCATCGAAACTTTCATCTTCGAGCGTGCGTACAGCATTTTGCGAATGATATTTTTTCTCGCGCCTGTCTATCCAACGTCATAGAAAGTCTTCGCCTCATAGGAAAGAATATTCGCAAAGTGTGCCAAAACGCTAAATGCTAGCGATAAACCATCTTAATCGCCCGTTGCATATTAATAGGGAGTAGCAGAGGCGAATGAGCAGAGAGCGAGAACAAGAGTCTCGACGCCTCGCAACTATCCGACGGGCGGTGGGGGGTGTGGTGTAGGGGCGCTTGATAGTGTTGGGGTGTAGGGGGTTGGGGGGGGGGGGGGGGGGAGGAGC